GGTGGCAACCATGGTCCCAGGTCACAATTCTGATTGCTAGCCTCCAGAACCTCGTCGGGCCGAACACTGGCTGTACTCCTTTGGCGTCGCAGTGATGCTTTAACTGATGCGTTTGGTCCGATCTTCTCACAGTTCTCGGCTCCGCTGTTGTCGTTTTTTGTTATGGCAACCGCTGGAGTTGTCGCCTCCCCTTGGACCAATGGGCGCGCCCTACTTGATTACATGCTGCCTTCAGTGGTGGTGCTGAGTGGTGGCGAAGTCACCTAGCATGAACGGCATAATTGCTGTGTTCACCGACGTCACTGGGTTCGTGTGGCCAAGGAGGGGGAGTCAGTTGGTCTCGTAGCCCACAGGTCCAGAATTCGAGCCCCGCTAAAGGGGCTGGAAGAGACAAGAAGAGGGGCCGAAGTTGTAGCCCTGCCTCACGCCTCCACTCGTCAGCATGGGCCGATTCGCCATCAGTTAAGATTGGCCATTTAGGTTGATTTTATTATCTTCAGTGTGGGTACGTTTGCAACCATCAGTAATTCTTAAAGGGAAATTTGGAGATTAGCTCTTAGTCCTTATAATAAAGTTTTTTTTTGACTGTAACAGCAGTAGCTTATGCCGCCGTTGCTGCGTTTATTAAAACTCCTATTCAAGATCTACTACTAGTCTCGACACCTACTGACTATGAATATAAGTAGTGCAGCCAGTTGCGGTGGCAAAAGGCAAATTTATTAGTTATGAAGAGAAACTGGTCTTCGGAGACTCCCTTAATAGCTTGATGTTGGAGTGCTTTTCGTTTCGTTCGAAAAGGCGGGCGGAAAAGATTCATAACTTTGCTTCACCAGACACCGAAGGATGATTGCCTTGGCCTTGTGACTGCTAGACTGCAAAGAAGGCCTTGGCTCTCCGTCCTACAACAACCCCAATTAATCCGTGCTGGGCCCTTGTTCGTCATGTGGCGGACATCGTCAGCCAGGAGCCATTATCTATGGCAAATACACCAAGACACCGAAAAAGCTTTTTAGGCTTAGTAATTAGGTGGATTTTTTCTAATGATTGTTAACGGCTATGACGCCATGTCCGCCACATGACGGACGAAAGCCCATCACTACATTTTTCGTAGGTAATGGTTTCTGGCTCTGACGCTGTCCGTCAAATGACGGACAAGAGCGCAGCCCTGATTCGTCAGGACTGTCACAGGATGGCGAGCCGAGGCCAAGAAAATCCTCTTTCGTTGTTGGGTTGGGCCAATTTACGAATCCCTTGCAATCGGCCTTCGTCTTGCCTTATTAACAAATGCTAATAAAAGATGGGCTGACTGATGAGGAAGAGGGCAGAGATAGGCTGTTTTCAAAGAGACCCTGACTCATTTGAGGGAGAAATTTGACCGTTTGTCAAGATCTGGCTGTTTCAGAATTGTCTACTCATGTGACCTCCCTTAGATTGGCGAAGGAAAAGTCCGCCAAGGGAAGCTGAACGCCAAAATGATGACTGGTAGTTGAATTTTCCCACAATGGTATGGGGTGACCCTACCTTTCCACTGAATTTCACATCTTTGCTTTGTTAAAAGGCATTCTCATCCATACAGAAATGGACTGCAGTTTCGACCCCGCCTATGTATTATCAGCGCCCCCAGTATGACTAGAACCATGACAATGCAGCGTACAATCTCTATACGTTAACTACTAGGCTACGCACCCACCAATACCCTTGGACCACAGGGCAGATGTGAATTTTAAGGAGGGAGAATTCAGCTACCAATCCCTTTATCACCTTAAACGAAATTGAGTGATTAAATTGATTGAAATGTATTTACAAAACGAAAAAGAAATAGGATCGTTTCAAGTGCATAGGTCTGCTGATAGAAACGA